CTAAATTCCTATCTTGAATTTCAATGTCCTCTGGAACTCATGGACTCTCCTCAGCAAAATCTCCTAGGTATTTTCTTCTCTTGATGTTCCTTTCACCTTCTTGCCTAAATGAAATCTGGCTCTGCCTACATGACACTGCAGCCTTCTCAAGTGATAGTTCTTCTCGGGGCATCTGGATGGCTCAGCTGGTTAAGTGTCCGACTCTTGATTTTGGCTCAGTCATGATCTCACAGTTTGTGGGATCAAGCCCCTGCATCAGTCTCTGCACTGACAGCACCGAAGCTTGCCTGGGATTCTTTCTCCCTCTTTCTCTGCCTCTCCCCCATTGGCCTGCATTTTCTCTCTCTTTCTCTCAAATAAATTAACTTAAAATAAGTGACAATTCTTTTCTCTCATACTTCCTTACCAGTGAGCCTGAAGGTGGAGCAAATATCTGTTAGCTCTTGTCATTCTCTCTCCCACTCTTCCCTAAAACTCCTCAATTTTAAAACTCATGTCATCAAATACTACCCATCATCCATCCATTTGGTTGCAGTTCTCTACCAACTTCCAGATTAAGTCCTCTCATTCCTAGCTCACTGTCTCTCTCCAACCACAAATCCTGCGATAATTTTTGGTAATTTCAATATTCATAGAGCTGATCCATCCAAAAACCTAGCCTGTTCCTTGACCTCTTCTTCAACAAAAATCTCATAATCTATCTTACCTCAGAGATTCATTCCCTATGGTCATACAGTTTTGTCATTACCAGGTTCCAAAATTCTTAAGCTCCATCAGACATAGAATCCATTAATTCTATAACATTTTCCATTAACATATTTATATCTTCGTTTCCTCTGTATGCAACTTAAATTCCATGGCCTATCATTATAATCTCTCTCTACACACACCTTCAATTCCCTAGACTCTTTCTTCAATATACTCACTTGGCAAAACTCCATCTCTCGTGAAATCCTGCTCCACACTATGTAAGCCTATAGTCACGCAGTTAAATGTGACTAGAGAAATCATACCACCATGCTGTCTGGTTTCACTAACTTCAGAGGTAATGCACAGGAATCATACCACACCTCCCATTCACTCTGCTACTCTTCTACAGACAACTATTTTATACCTTCCCTCTCATGGTCAACACTCCTTATTCATCCTCACTCACACCTCATGACCTAGTTCACCTGTTCAGCACTCAAGAGACCTGCTACAAGCTACCACAACCACATCTACCGACCTACCTGCATCTATTTTTAATACATTCTGTCTCACCTCTTACTGCTACAGATGAACTATCTGTTCTGAGTCTAATTCTTCTATTTGTCAAAAGATAGTAAAAAAAGATATCTATTTGTCAAAAGATAATTTTGGGGCATCTGAGTGGCTCAGTCAGTTAAGCATCTGACTTCAGTTTGAGTCATCATCTCACAGTTCGTGGGTTCAAGCCCCGCATTGGGCTTTGTGCTGACAGCTCAGAGCTTGGAGCTCACTTCAGATTCTGTGTCTTCCTCTACTGTGTGTCCTTCCTCCACTAGCAATCTGTATCTCTCTGTCTCTCAAAAATGAATACAAACATTAAAAAAAAATTTAAGTACTCTTTTCAATTTCTTTTCTCCAGTTTTTTTAAACAGCTCTGAGTTATAATGTACAGACCATACAATAAACCCATTTAAAGTATGCAATAGGATGCAAGTATGTTAAAGGAAATCATCATGATCTAATTTTAAAACATGTTTGCTCTCCCCTCAAAGAAATTCTGTACCCATTAACAGTCAAATCCTATATGCCCTTTTACTTCTCCACCAATCCCAAGCAACCACTAATCTACTATCTCTAAGTTTGTTTATTCTGGACATTTCATATAAATAGAATCATATGATATATGATCTTTTCATGAGTCGGCTTTTTTGACTTTAGCATTATGTCTTTAAGTTTTATGTTCTATTTATTTTTTCTTTTTTTCTCTTTTTTTACGAGAGAGAGAGAGAACATGAACAGGGCAGACGGAGAGAGATTTCTTCTTTTAATGTTTATTTCTGAGAAAGAGAGGGAGAGTGCATGCACATGCAGGAGAGAGCCAGAGAAAGAGGGAGAACACCAAGCAGGGGTGGAATGCGACACAGGGCTCGATCTCACCATGCTGGGATCATAACCTCAGTGGAACTCTAAAGTCAGATGTTCAACCAAATGAGCCACTCAAGCGCCCCCTATATTTTGTTTATCCACTCATCAGCTAATGGACTTTTGAGGCATTTCTTTTTTTTTTTTTTTTTTTTTTGTTATTTGAATAATGCTGTTATTAACATTTCTGTACAGGCTTTCATATGGACATGTTTTTACTTCTTTTGGGTGAAATAATAGGGTCATATGGTAATTCTATGTTTAACTTTTTAAGGACCTGACAAACATATTTATACCTTCATTTTTCTCTTTATGCAACTTAAATTCTATGACCTGTCATTATAATCTCTCTCTACACACACCTGACAAACTGTTTTCCAAAGTAACTATATTATGTTACATTGCTATTGGCTATGTATAAAGGTTTCCAATTTTTTCTTATACTGACTCTGTCTGGCTTCCTTCCATGCACTTGTCGAGGTTACCAATGACCTCTTTATGGCTCAATCAATAGTCAAATCTCAGTCTTCATCCAGCTTGACCTATTAGCAGCATTTGGTTCAGCTAATCTACTCTTCACTGAAACTTCATTTGGATTCTAGGAAATCAGTCTCCTGTTTCTCTTCTACCTGGCTTAAACACACCTGTTATTCCTTCTTCCACAATCTCTAATCATTGGCATGTTCCACACTCAGTCCATTAATCTTTCCCTTTCTCTATCTACATTTATTTTAGCTGTGATTTCATGCAGTCTACCATTTATATACGTTTCTGTTCCCAAAGGTATATTTACAGGCTAGATCTGTACTGCTCAATACACTAGCCAGTAGCAACATATGGCTATATAATTTTAATTAAAATTACTATTCAGGTCCTCAGGCACATATGTTGCATATTAAGAGCTCAAGAGCCACATGTGGCTAGTAGTTACCAAACTAGACAGCAGACATATTGAACATTTCTATCATCAGAGAAATTTCTATTGTAAAGCACTGACTGATCTAGACCTTTCCTCTGAACTCTAGATTTATGTACTGCCTTCTTGAAATCTCCACTTGGATGTCAATAAACATCCTAAAACCAAAATCCTATTATTCTGCCCTAAATATGTTCCTTTTATATTTTTCCTGTTTCAGCTGATGTTAACTCAATCCTTCCAGTTTTTCAAGCCAAAAACCATGGGGTGAACCGCTCTCATTCTACATTCAACTGACCACAGAATCCAACCACATTTTACGAATCTCCACTTCTACTACTTTGTTTGAAGCTACCACCATCTTTTGCCTGTTGTAACAGCATCTTTTGTTGTAATAGCTTCCTGATATCCCTCCTTCTGTCCTTTCTATCGTAAGTTCTATTTTCAACCTAACAACCAGAGAATTCTTGTTGAAGTCAAAGTCAGATCACATCAGTCCTCTAATCAAAATCCTCTAATGGTTTCCAATGTCATTCACAGCAAACATCAAAAGTTGCTGTATTAGCCTACAGGGCCTTACATGACCTGATCCCATTACTTTTCGAATGTCATCCCCTTTGCATACTCCTTGGAAGTCATACTGGCTATTCATCAAGGCACCAAGCACATTTCACCCTTCCCCATGAAATATAATTTAGAAGTCACAAAGTTTAGGGATGCCTGGGTGACTCAGTAAGTTCAGCTTCCAACTGATGAGTCATGATCTCATGGTTTGTGAGTTAGAGCCTCACATCAGGCTTTGCACGGACAGTGCAGAACCTGCTTGGGATTCTCTCTCTCTCTCTCTCTCTCTCTCTCTCTCAAAATAAATGAACAATTAAAAAAAAAAATCACAAAGTTTAAGAATCATTAAGCTAGACTAAAAGAGGTATAAATAGAAATTCTATTTCCAGTTATCTGAGTATTCAAAAGTAATCTGCCCTTAACTGTAACATTTCCATAACCAGTGAATAGAATTAAATTATATTAATTACATAAAGAAAAGCGCCTTCCCAAAGCTGGAATCTCTATCACTTTCCTAAGCCTATATTTCACCCAAAAACACTTAGCTAGTTGTCAAACTAATCAGGTGACAAATTTTTTTTACAGAATTTTTCTTAAACACTTAATTACTAAAATAACTAAGAATACAGATTAAGATTTTGTATTTGGTAACAGTATAAATATATAAATTCTTATCCATTAAACTGTAAAAGACTTCAGTGTGATATACAGCTACCTGCTCTGTAAACAAGTTCTACTGAAAGCAGCTGGTCTGCAAACTATATACTAGTCTGTTTTGAAATAAGAAACTTGCCTAAGAATGCAACTTAATACACTGCTTCCTTCATCAAGAAAATGTACTCTAGAACATTTCAGATGAACTAAACAGTGTATTTATGTAAATGTTTTATATTTTGGCACAAGCTCCTATCTCACTGCGGATTGGTAACTAATATTTCATAGACTGGCATAGGTCCATGAATCCACTTTGGATAGCACTGTTCTAAATCATCTCCTGAGTCTTTAAATTAAGTCTATGCAATATATACGCACAGACATATATATGTATGTGTATATATATTAATATACATATATATATCTTTCTACATGCAATATCAGAATTTCTGTACCATTTCCCATTCTAAAATTTATTAGGAATTAATATGTATCTTGTTCTTTTCTAGAAGTTACTCAGTGTCATTTATATTACAGAATTTTAATGCTGCTTAGAAAAAGCCTGCAGAAAGGTGTAACATCCAAAACAGTAATATAATGATAGAAATTTTTAATTAAGAGCTTCAAAATTATAATTTTAAAGTAGATTATATAACATCACTTCAGAAAGATGTGATTTGGTAATATATTAGTTTTTAGAAACTTTTATTTTATTTTGAAAGAGATATAAAATCATTCACTTTTCAACACTAACCTAAATATTCCATCAGCTGTTCAGCAGTTATGATTTCCATCATCGGTGGAAGTTTCACCTGAAAAACAAAGTATTTTTTCTATAAAATCAAATGTTTTAGGTGATTAAAGTGCTTCTTAAAGTAAGAAAAATAAGTTGTATGTGTATATATGTTTCTACTGTATGTATACATTGATAGTCATGTTATTAAAATCTTTGTAACTAATCTTCATAAAATATAACACAGTTAATCCTATCACCATAAAATTTCCAGGGTGATATAAGATCTCATAAACTGAGAAATCTATTTTCAAAGCCAAGTGCTATGCCTTTTGCCACCCACTATGATTGTCTCTAGGTTCCTACAACAGTGCCCTACATGATAGAAAACGCAGTTAAAGGGCAGGAAAAGGCACCAAACATGGGATAGGTCACCCATAGAGCAGTTTTACTAAAGACAGGCTTGAACACAGCTCAATATGCCTTTACTTTAGTTTACTTTGGCCATTTTTATTGCTGAATGATTATAATAAATACAGTATGAAGATATGAGTCATATACTGAAAAATTTGTACTGTATGATTCCACTTGCAAAGTTTAAAAGCAGGCAAAATTAAACTATATTGTTTACAACTGCACACTTGGTGATAAAATTATTTTAAAAAGTAATTAAGTGACAAAAACAGACACTCATATCAACGGAACAATAGAGAACCCAAAAATGGACCCACAAATGTATGGCCAACTCATCTTTGACAAAGCAGGTAAGAGTATCCAATGGAATAAAGACAGTCTCTTCAGCAACTGGTGCTGGGAAAACTGGACAGCAACATGCAGAAAAATGAACCTGGACCACCTCTTACACCATACACAAAAATGAACTCAACATGGATGAAAGACCTAAATGTAAGACAGGAAGCTATCAAAATCCTTGAGGAGAATGCAGGCAAAAACATCTTTGATGTTGGCTGCAGCAACTTCTTACTCAACATATCTCTGGAGGCAAGGGAAACAAAATCAAAGATGAACTATTGGGACCTCATCAAAATAAAAAGCTCTGCACAGCAAAGGAAACAATCCCAAAACTAAAAGGAAACCAATGGAATGAGAGAAGATATTTGCAAATGACATATCAGATAAAGGGTTAGTATCCAAAACCAATAAAGAACTCAACACCCAAAAACAAATAATCCGATGAAGAAATGGACAAAAGATATGAATAGACATTTCTCCAAAGAAGACATCCAGATGGCCAAACGCCACGCAAAAAAATGCTCAACATCACTCATCATCAGGGAAATAACAAATCAAAACCACAATGAGATACCACCTCACACCTGTCAGAATGGCTAGTGTTAACAACTCAGGCAACAACAGATGCTGGCGAGGATGTGGAGAAAGAGGCTCTCTTTTGCACTGCTGGGGGTAATGCAAACTGGTGCAACCACTCTTGAAAACAGTATGGAGGTTCTTCAAAAAGTTAAAAATAGAACTACTGGGGCGCCTGGGTGGCTTAGTCGGTTAAGCGTCCGACTTTCGCTTAGGTCATGATCTCGTGGTTCGTGGGTTCGAGCCCCTCGTCGGGCTCTGTGCTGACTGCCACCTCAGAGCCTGGAGCCTGCTTCAGTCTGTGACTCCCTCTCTCTCTGACCCTCCCCTGCTCACGCTGTCTCTCTCTCTCTCCTAGAAATAAAAAAAAAAAACATTAAAAAAAAAAATAGAACTACTGTACGACCCAACAATTACACTACTAGGTATTTTTCCAAGGGATATCGGTGTGCTGTTTCGAAGGGACACATGCACCTCAATGTTTATAGCTTCACTATCAACAATAACCAAAGTATGGAAAGAGCCCAAATGTCCATTGATGGATGAATGGATAAGAAGATGTGGTATATATATACAATAGAGTATTATTCAGCAATCAAAAAGAATGTAATCTTGCCATTTGCAACTACATAGATCAAACTAGAGGTTACCATGCTAAGTACAATTAGAGAAAGACAAATATTGTATGACTTCACTCATATGAGGACTTCAAGATACAAAACAGATAAACATAAGGGAAGCGAAGCAAAAAATAATATAAAAACAGGGAGGGGGACAAAAATCATAAGAGACTCTTAAATATGGGAACAAACAGAGGGTTGCTGCAAGGGTTATGGGAGTGGGGATGGGCTAAATGGGTAAGCAGCACTAAGGAATCTACTCTTTAAGCCATTGTTGTACTATATGCTAACTAACTTGGATGTAAATTTAAAAAATAAAGAAAAAAAGGAAAGGAAATGGATACTATAAAAATCAGAATTATGGTTACACCTAGGGGTAAGGGAAGGAGTTATAGTTGGAGAGGGCACATAAGAGCTTTCTGGGATGCTGGCAATGCTGTTCTTGACTTGCATGGTAGTTTCAGTGTCCTTTGCTTTATAATAACTTATTAAACTGTACGTCTCTGTTTTATGTATTCTACATGTGTTATAGTTCACAACAAAAAAGCTAAAAGTAGATATATACATTACAATCATATTTAAGTTACTAAAGTTATTTCAGTTGTAACACATTAGTCTAAATGTTTAACTGAACTGTCAGATCAGTTACACAGATACTACAACCAATGGTTATAAATATTTTAACTTATTCAAAAGCATACTCCTGTGGTGAGAAAAAGAAATACTATAAGATGGAAACTCAAAGTAAATATCAATGACAGGAGAACAATAATGTAATTAAACATTCTTTAGGAATTACTTTTTGGGAATATTTTCTGTTCAACCAACAAAATCACTTATTTCATCAATTTCTCCAACAATTCCCCCAAGTATGAAGAAGGTGCTCTTGGTACTTATGTTAGCAAATGTGGGGAAAAGCATGTCACAATTTTTGGTTTGTTTTAATCAATGAATAAATACTAAAACAGATCCCTGTAAAACAGTTTGATGACCTGAGAGCATACATGGAAAACGATGCTTACATTTTTTTTCATCCAGTGGATTTATCAGACATTAAAAACCAAGAGATACCATGGAAGTTTTAATCATTACTTGATTCTAAATCATTTTTAGTTTCTGTGACGTGTTTTTTAAAACCGTCATAGATTTTATATAGCAGCAATATTAGGCTTACCAAATATTGAGCAGAAAGTGCAGAGTTCCCAAATATGGTATATTTTTAGACTGAAATTCATTGGCAAATTAAGGTCCCCTGTTTTTCTAAATAAAGTTTTATTGGAACAGTCACTCTCATTGTTTATCGATAGTCTGACTTTTTCTGCACAACAATAGATGAGCTGAATCTTTACAAGAGATATCAGAGCCCACAAAGCCTAAAATATTTACTATCTAGTCCTTTATAGGAAAAGTTTGCTGATCTTTGCTTTAGATGATTTTAACTGTTACTAGAATATTTTATCAAGCTATTTTAGTACCACTATTGAAGGCCTGATATTTAAACCAGTAGTTTACATTCACTGTGAATGCTTATATTCTGAATAATTGTCAGAACAACCTGAAAGTCTCATTTACACCTAACAATGTTTCTTAAATAAAATAAGACCTATATATTCTTTTACTCCAGACAGATTCAGTCAGAATATATTCACCTGAAAATTCCAGAGAGATAACTTATTCTCTGCTTTGGTTAATGTAGTAATTCTACTATAAAATTGTCAAAATAAGAATTAACAGAAGTGTTAATGTGGCATTTCTGTCAAAATATGAAATCAAGGCACTAACAAGTATATGTATTTGGGAAACATATATATAATCCTAGATTTCTACAAATATGATTTCAGGGTTTAGCCTTGAAAATTCCAAATAACAACTGCCTACCATGTCTTTGCAGGAAACATTTTGGAAAAGAAAATGACAACCTCTATACTGTTTTTAGAAGTGGGACAACAAATATGCAACTATTTTAACTGACTTATTCACAAACATATTAAATGAAATACTCATTTCCTGAATCTTAGCCAATAAAATATTCTGGATATTAATTAAAACTAAGGACATATAAACAATTGTAAAGGAATGCCTGCCTCTCAGTAATACTGCTGAGCCATCGACAGATTTTTTTTAAAACCGCAAAATTACCTTCCTGAACACTTGCTTCTCTTTTTGCTTTTCTCTACCACCATCACGTCAAAAACAAGTGACAGGAAAGCACGTTGCTGGGGTTCAAGTCGGTTAAGCATTTGATTCTTAATTTCGGATCAGGTCATAATCTCACAGATTGTGGGATCAGGCCCAGCTTTGGGATCTGTGCTGATGGTGCAAAGCCTGTTTGAGATTCTCTTTAAAAATGAAAAAATACTTAAGGGGTGTCTGGGTGGCTCAGTCGAAGTGTCCACTTCGGTTCATGTCATGATCTCCTGGTTCTTGAGTTCAAGCCCCATACTGGGCTCTGTGAGGGCAGCATGGAGCCTGGTGCCTTCTTAGGATTCTGAGTCTCCCTGTCTCTCTGCTCCTCCTACTTAGCGCGCGCACTCTCTCTCTCTCTCCCCCAAAAGTAAAATAAAAAACACTTTAAAATGGCTAATGGTTTTGTTAATGATTCTAAGACTCTCATTCCTTTGTCTCTTTAGATTTTTTTTTCTATTTTTTTAATGTTTACTTATTTTTGAGAGAAAGACAGACAAGAGTCTGAACAGGGAAGGGGAAGAAAGAAAGACACAGAATCCAAAGCAGACTCCAAGCTCTAAGCTGTCAGCAAAGAGCCCAATGTGGGGCTTGACCCCATGAAATGTGAGATCATGACCTGAGCTGAAGTTGGATGCTTAACCAACTGAGCCACCCAGGCGCCTCTAGATTTTATTGAAGAAGAAACAGGTTAAGGAACAGCTAGCTAAGAATATAGAAAATAACAGGTGTGGTATTTATCTCTGAATTTCTAAATTTTACAGTGAAAAAACAAACTCAAATGAAGTATAACCTAGATTCTCTGGTGGCCTTTTAGTAACAATCTGTAACATATTTTTTTTTAAATATTTTTATTTATTTCTAGGAGAGAGAGAGAGAGACAGTGTGAGCAGGAGAGGGTCAGAGGGAGAGGGAGACACAGACTCTGAAATAGGCTCCAGGCTCT